TCAGCAACAGCAAGGTTGTTTTTTCCTAATCGCTGCAGTAGCTATTATAGTTTATTATACTAGCCACAGTACCTTGGAAACCCAATCTAAAGTTGAGCCCTGTTGTTCCAGGCACCCTACAGACTAATAGTAAGGATAAAAAACCCAAATCCTCACTACCTTTGACAGCTTGCAGTCTAGTTTTAAGGCCGAATGCAATGAGTAGATAAAACAGACAAATAGGTTAGGGAAGGTAAGGTTATAAAACAGGTCCATAAATTAAAAGCAGAAGTCTTGGTTCACTGTCTTTCTAACTATTTTATTTACTTGCTAAATGCCATTTGGACTTTCTTGCTTCCCCAAATTTACACTTAAAATTTGACTGTGGTGCACATTGTTCTAAAATTCTTATTTACTACCACTCATGAGGTGGCGTTGCATGATGTGGCATTTATATTTTTAGAATATTTTGTTATTTTGATATAAGTGATGACAAAGCTTAATGGCTTTTTGCACTGATATGAGACTGAGTATTCTTGCATTAAGTAGACAGGTAAAACAGTCAGGAAAATCTGTATATGCTTCAGTACTATCTATATGTGAATTCAAGAGTCTGGCTTACTTTCTTTATGTCTTATTTGGACATTTCAGATACCTAAATTCATACTTCATTAATAGAATTATAATGTCTGCTGTAAGTAGTTGTGAATATCTGTGAACATGTAGAGGAAAGGAAAATTAGATTCTAATTCTTTTAGTTTTAATCAAGTTTATATCATTTTTAAGAAACATTTGCCTTGCATTCAGTGGTGCTCATCTATTTTTCTATTGTTCATACCTATAGTATGTTCTAATTCTGAGAAAATGCAAGTTCTTGAATTAAAGGATGATATTCATAATGTGAACGAGGCTACGTTATGCCTGGAAAGAAAGTAAAGACCTTGATTTAGAATTTTTCTTACACTAAAAATCTGTTCTATTTTGTAGATCTTTGCAGCAGCATACTCTGATGTTGAATGACTGTAGAAAAAGTAGATTCAAATATGGACTCTGATCAAGTTCACCTAGTAAACTATACAAAATCCTCCTGTAAACAAAATCAATATTATGGTAATTTTTATAAAGAGTAGACAAATGTATAAGAAGAGGAAGGACATTTTTATACCTTCTAATGGAATGTTGTGCACAAATTGATAGGTTAGCACTGACTCTATGTCAGTATAGCATATGCTGAAGTGCAGAAAGATGTCAGATCACTACCTCATCTTAGAACTACTTGTTGGTGCAAAACTTCTGGAAAGCTAATAAATATGTATTGCATCTTAATGTAGCCAGTTTCATGTGAGCTAGCTCAGCTGTTTCACCAGGGTATTTCAGTTCCAGAATTACCTTCCCAAAATTTAGACTTCCTCTACATGACATGTCTAAATGCCAAAATGACAGAAGTAGAATTGAAAATGTTTACTCCCAGCTACTAACATGACCATTGCATAGCCCATTTTTCCTAATGCACCATGAAAAAAAGATTCTAATTACATTGCTTTCTAGAAGTGCAAAAAGCTGGAGAACAGGACCATCTAATACCTAGTTAGAGACTTTTACAATAACTGCTTCTGCTCCTAATTCTAGAGCAGTCTATACGTAAGGATTTTTAAAATCTCGGTTTCTAGATTTTAGGACTTGTTCTGTTTCCCTGTACCTGATATTAACCTATATGAATCAGAAAACAGCAAAAATCTCTTCCATAATACAAAAGAGAGTCTGGATGAGTTAGGAAGTACAACTTAATTGTGAACATAATTGCACTTCTAGTGGATAATTGCAATCGTAAGTCAAGCAAGACAGCTTCTAAAAGTTGGGTCAGATTTTTAATTCTATGATCTAAATTATTAATGAGTATATTTTCATAAGCTTTCTGCATAAAAATTGACTTCATAACAGAGAGGTCAGCTGGTCTTGACTTTTCACCTTTATGATTATCAGTGATAATCAGAAACTGTTTTCCAATAAATGTATGCTGGTTTTATGCATCCTGACATACACACCAAATGTAGGTGGTGAAATACTTACAAGCTTTATGAAGCAAAAATTAATTCTGTAGGTTCTAGTTGAAAGAGTGATTTAATATCTTGGGAATGTTAAAAACCATATTGAGTCAATTATGAAAAATCCAGTGCTACTTTTCACAGTGTGGCTGCAGTCAGGGAAAAATGGTGCAATGCATAAAGAAAACGAGCGGGTCAGTACAAGAATGCATAATGCTATCAAATCAGTAGAGTTTCCACATCGGATAGACAACAGTATTGAATGCAATATATCTTGAGACTGATACAGTAGTAATATAAGAGGACTTGAGACAAGTGGTGAGGTTGATTAGAACTGTAAAGATTTTTATAAGAGGAGACTGAAAGGTTGAGATTATTTATGCAGAAGATGGATTGGAAACTTCTATAACCTGTCTCCTAAAGCAAGATTTAAGAGCCCATCCAGTGTCATCAAATAGAATAAATTCAAAACAGATAAACAAGACTTTTGGTTTTTACCTGAAACAGAAAGATATGACAGAATTCAAGGTCACAAAGATGGAAATTTAAGATAATTCAGGAAGACATTTGTCACCTTTCTCAATCAGATTTTTAAACAACAAACATATGAGGTTTTAGAAAAGACAAATCACTTTTAAAAAAAGAAGGGCCTGAAACAAACATATACTTCCACTGTAATAGTTTACTGCAACATATTGGGACGTGTCTTGGCTTGTTTGCATTATGAATATTGAGTAAAAGTCAGGATACTGGACAAAATGGGCAATTATTTATATTCATGATGACAGTTTCCCTTCAGATTGCAATCTGAATTAATTTGTTATAATTTCTCTCTCCTCTGTTTTTCAAGAAAAAAGAATGAATGGTAGTTCTGATTTCCCTTTCTGCCCCCAGAAAGTAGCTGTCATAGTTATCTTTCAGAGATTCAAGGGGTCAAATATTTGGAAGCATCTTTCCTTTACATTTCATGCTCATGTTCTATGAATAGGTCTGGGACTACAGAAAGTATCTCATTCTGTGCTTCTTTTCCGGCATTTTGCTACTTTGATAAATAAGATATGGTATACTTTACAATTTCAGAGATGCTTAGTTGGAAACACTTACTGGATGTGTTTTATTCTAAAAGCTCTCATATCTTGAAAATCGTTTTGCCTCCAAGTTGTCTCAATTTCTCTCTTTTGACAACTGTGTGGAATCTTACCATACTAATGTGAAGAACTTACTACATTCATAAGAAGTTTGCTTCAAAAAAATACTTCTTTTAATAAGAGTGTCTCCTCCTACTAGTCCAATGTACAGAACAAACAAGTTCCAAGCCTAAAATGTAACCCTTCTTGATTATGGCACTTGAATGTTGAACCAGAATTTGAATTCTGTAGCTGCTTTTTCTCTCCACAGAGATTCAAAATCTTAAATCCCATTTGTGTTAGTTGTCAAATTAGCAAGATATGGCCATGGTTAGAACTGCTTAAAGAGAGTTTCTGTTCTATGGGATTTTCTGGGGGAAAAAAAAGGAAACATAATTCAGTTGCAGAATTAAAAGAATAAATACTGCTCTTACTTCATTCACTTGAACCATTCTGGTATTCATACTGAGCTCTCAGGTGACACAGTTCAAACTTAGCATGCTTATTCCCAGATATTTTTTATTTTTCATATCCTGGATGTTATTTTCTGGAGAATTTGAGCTGTAACCTTCCCAGAGACTGAGGATGATTAACCTGTATTTACCTGGAGAAATGAATACAGAGTTTTAGCAGTTTTGATCAATGTCCATGGTTAGAAATTCAGGTTTCTTTCTGATTAATATTTTATCCTGTTTGCCCCTGTTGGGCTAAAACTTCTCTGTTAAAACAATATAAAGGGTCTGGGATTAAAATTCAAGTAAATTGGCAAAAAAAGTGTGCTAAGGGAAGGAGAATTAATTTGAGGTTACTTGAGAGTGGTTGTTCCAACATGGAACATGGCAATGCTGGTTAGAGTGGTCTCAATACATATAGAAGGGAAGGTAGTAAGAGGCAAATCACAACGGCTCGTAAAATATAGCATGACTTTGAACACTATGATAAAGAGGCTATTCAGTCTTGCTACTGTGCAGATACTTGTGCTAGTAAATCTACCAGACACTGTTATGCTGTGAGAAAGGAAAGAAGCTGAAGGACATTCAGTCGGACAAGGCCATAAGCAAGAGTATTTGGTAATAGCCTGCACATATCTAGAAGGCTTTAGGGACTAAAATGGAGGCAAACTGATTGGTGCGATTCACGATTGTCTAACAAAGAATGATAAAATGAAATTAAGGGAGTGTCTATCAGGAAAATGATTGACTGGTGAGATTGTAATAAGCTGTGAACACACTCCCATGAGAACGTGAAGGACAGCCCATGAGCTGGAATTGTGAAAACTGCATTTTCTAACAAGAAAATTTTATCAGTCCAATATGACCAAAGAAATAAAATGCTTTTTTGAGAATACACGGTCATCTGTTGTACTCCGTTACATACTCTGAAGATGACTACTGAAATTTCTGTGGAAAAGTTGCTACTGATTCAGATCAGGGTGTATCAAGACCTTAGAGCTAATACAGGCCATGTTTGTCAGAGTAATTTGTCTGGGAGCAAAGGTGGCAATGCACAAGGAATGGTTGTGCCAGTGCAAGGACCATAGGTCCTAGGGAAAATAGGTGTTCAGTCGGCTTTTAGCTGAGTACAAGGAGCTATAGAGATGTGTTCACTGAATATCTGTTTTCCCTTATAGGAATAGTTAATGAGTTAATTAGTTATACTTGGGGGTGGGGGGTGATGGGGCTATAGTATTCATTCCAGGATAACATTGTTGGTTTATGTAATTTTGTTTTATTCTATCAAAAAGACTGTTGTGTTCTATATTTGAAAATGTAGAACAGGAAAGTTTAATTTGATTTTCCTTGTTTGTCAAAAGGTTACTTTATTGCTTTTTCTTCTTTTTTTGTCTCAGATATCTCACTTACAAGGGCTGCAAGTGTGTGTGGAGCCCATCTTGTTCTCCCACAGAGTGTTGCTCTTCTGATGAAGAGGTTTCACCACATTAGGCGTGACTGGAGAGGAAGCCTCTCAAATGTGCTGCTGCCTGTCCTCTTTGTTGCACTGGCAATGGCCTTGTTTAGTGTGAAGCCACTGGCTATTGATTATCCTTCTCTCAAGATGACACCAAACCTTTATGACAATGCAGAATCCTTCTTTAGGTAAGGGGCTTATCTGTCACCTTCAGTGTCCAGGGTTCTGTGACCTCGAGTTCTCATATTTTAAAGACTATTTGTATTCTAGAAAGAATGATAGGTTACTTGTTACAATAGTTGTGTGGGTTTCTTTCAGGTGTTTACTTACACTTCTCCTAAATCTTCGTTCGTGAAGCCTAGCCATGACTTACACTGCTATAGTTTATTACAATAGAAAGATATAATTAGAAAACCTTTGTGCAAAGGATTTTCTGTAGGAAAGGGCAAAGACTTTGGACAAGTTTGAACTCAAATCAATACCAGCCATGACCATTTATATGTAAATGCACATGTGTATTTGAACAAGCCTTTGCATGCTTCATTATAACTAGTTGCTTAGGTCTAAAGCTATTTTCTCAAAGTAATTCTTAGGTTTGAAAATATCACACAGTATTAGCAAAGCCTGATGCCCTTCTTTCTCAACCTAGTTTCTATATGTTCAGCTTTGAAACCAACTAGATTATTTATTTATTTATTTATTTTTAAGATATAGTATCTATAGCTCAGCTCTGAACTAATCTATATTGAGTGCATATCACTTTTTCTACTGGGCAAATATACAGATAAACATAACATGATACCGTTTGCATTTAAACAAATGAATGAAACATAAAAGCACTTAAACCATGCTAGCTGTTAGGAATGCATGTTTATAAAGAGAAAGATAGTCATGGGGAGACCTTATTTGTTTAACCATAATTGTTATTGGATTTTCTTTACACGTTCACATACACTGTTTTGAAATTATATAATTCTGGTATGTTTCCTATGCATGGATTTTATAATAGAGTTAGACGTATTGACATGCCTTTTTTTCTTTTTCTTTTTTTTTTCCCTTCTCCTCTATTCCTTACCCCCACGGCCCACTTTGAACAGCACTGAAGATGATAACTTAGAAAACCTTTCTCAAGTTCTACTGGGTTATTTCTCTGATTGGAACCACACGTGCATGCATTCACAACAACGGTAATTGTGAATAATGTAACTACTTCCTTAATTGTAAATATTGTAAATTCAATATTTTTTTTCTGTGCAATGTGGATTACCTTAAACTGTTCTTGGCAGCATGGGGTTAATGACAAATCTGTTCTGATGAAGTAACCAGTATCCAGGTACAGAGTACAAGTAGGTTTCATTGCTAAAGGTCTGATCCCAATAGCTTAAAAGTCAGTGACAGCTTTCTGATTAATTTCAGGAGGATTTTGATCAAGTCTAGTGTCCATAAGAAGGAAGATTAGACAATAAGGAGAATATCTTTTAGGGAGTATTCTAGATTTCCAAATTTAGGAATGCAGTGTTGACCATGCTTTAGTTATTGCTACAAATACAAGGCATGCAGCTCATTTAATGCTTAAATAATATTTTAAGTGAATCCACTTTGAAACAAATGAAATATTTTTAGTAAATCCACTTTGATACAAATGAGTACAATTTACATCACTTAGATACAGCTACCACTGTGATAAAATACTAAGAAGGTTTTCAGGATGCCAGATCTGCTCATTACTCTGTGGGTTTCTTCTGTTAAGTAATCTATTCCTTTCATTTAATGGTTGTTCTTTTTTTATATTTATTTGCATTAGAAAAAATAATTCATGTTGGCAGATGGAAAATATGCCACCCCAGGACTCATGTGGATGTGTAGCTGGACAGGAGGTAGGTCATTTTATATTTACTTATGCATGTAAAAAATATGTAAGTGGATATTATTTCTAATCCTTGGCTGCTGAGAAGGGCTAGAGAAAGGAACGAAGCAATAAAGCCTCAGAGCCCTGCTTTGTTATGATAGGAGATTTCCCTCTATTTCATCTAATGTTTGAGCTACATGTTCTGAAGCCTTCAGGGAAAGAGCTCACACAATTTTCTTGTTTATATATATGTATCTGAAAAAACAGGATCAGAGATGGCTGAACTATTTTCGGAAGATGCAACTTCACTTTAAGTACGTTATAAGACATTGCAAAAAACCAAAAACTCGTAAAACAAGGTTAAAACATAACACTTCCATAATATAAGGAAGACTACGTACTTCCCAAGGGAAATAAGGGTGATCCTATCTGCTTGAATGCACCAGACAATTTATACATGAATGAGATTAATATTTAGAATTTAGTTTTGTATTGGATTTTGTATTTGAAAATAAAACAGCCTTCAAGAAAAGAAAGGATTTTTAAAAAAATATAATTAATTTCTTACCTTCTTGATTGGTGAGTTTTCCTCCTGCCTTGTTCTGAGTTGAGTAATGAAGCTGTGTCTGAGGTGACAAATGTATTTCTCTGAATGGGACCATCCTATCAAATAACTTCTTTCTCTCATAAAGACATAACTATTTAGAGTAAGAGTTGTGTATGAACTATAGCAATAGAGTTTTGAGAAAAGTGGAAGAAGGGAACTAATTTTTTGCTTTTCTGGACAAGGAATAACTTTGCCTCTAATACTAATGAGATGTATAGTTAACAAACAAGAGGATTGAATAAAATAAGAATGGGAACTCACATAGGGAGAGACCTATTAACCATGAAAGCTCCAAGGAGAGAAGTCACTTGAGAGTGACCTGTATCTAGGATCTATGGAAGAACAATCTCTGAGAGTGAATTTTTAATTTCTGTAGGGTTGAGATGTCAAATAAGCATTAAAAACTTTTGGTTGATATACATAATACACTTTATAAGGCTTCCAAGATAACTGATCATATTATCTGTCTCCTTTTCTTTGGTTTTGAGAGTATCCCACCGAATCATTAGAAGACATCTTCCTTTATTCTTTTCTGCAGTCCATCAATGAAATTTTTAGAAACATATAACACTAATTATAATTTTACTTTCATCTCATACTTACCTGGTGCCTTTTTTATGTTTCTTCTCAGGCACAACAAATACGTAGCAGTCTTGCCTTTTCCATTGCTGTAAACCTTTCTAAACACATACAAGTTTTGATGTTTTCAAAACAAAACTGACTGAGAGGGTTGTAAGAGAAATCAAAGGTAGATCTAACATACAGGCGACACAGTCATTTGAGATGCCTTATAAACATAAAACTATACATAATTTATTGAAAAGTTGTCAACACTGAGAAAGGCAAATACAGTTGAAAAGAAATTCTGTAAAATCTACACAAAAATCAAAAATTACGACCAAATGTAGTGCCACTGATTTTTAAGAGTGCTTTACTTATTTTATGTATACTGTTTTTCAGATGTGCCCAAGTTTCAATACCTCTGCTCCTTATGTAAAGAGCAAGAAAGGACATATTTTATATAATCTTTCAGGGTTCCTTGTGGAGGAGTATTTAGTGAGGCCTTCCAACAAAACAAGGTAACCTTAAAATATCTAGCCTTTGCTTATCCTTTGTGTATAAAACTCACAGTCCTTCCTGATTCAAAGCACAGACCTATATCACTGAGAATACAAGGGGTAGTTGCCTTTATCTGTTGGTTGTTATCAAGGCATAGAGTCAAGCTACCTTTCAAGGTACGATGAAACTCCCTCCATGGTCAATTCTCAGAACTTCCTGCAGCAGTTGCATGGTGATGGCCTCTAGGCATACTCTGGCTTTTCTTGCCACATAACAGACTTATTTCAACATCTCAGAGATGCATATCTAAATCAGGTGAACGATATAATTTCCATTCCTCAGAGACTCAATCAAATAGAGGTGGATATGCTCCATTTAATATCTTCTTTGAAGTAAAAACGACTGGTATGCCCCTGGCAATACTTCATATTCTGTGACAGCAGCCACAGGTTATCTACTGTATTTTGAAGTTTACTTATGTGTCTTTACAGCTCAACCACTGCCTATGATGTAAGCGCAAATACTAGACCATGTATGATTTTATCAAGGAGAAGAACGTGTTAGCCACTTTATGCACTAAAAAAGAGTGCATCTGATTTGATATAGAGTTAAACCTCTTAGGAGGAAAGATCTGAGCTAGAATATGAATGAAATAGGAAGAAATCAAGCTGAATAAGATGCTTCTGGAAGTCAGTAGTACCTCCCTTACTCACGATCCCTTCTGTTGCTCAGGGAATTCAGCTTTCAGAAAGCACGAATTCTTATCCAAGGAAACCCCTTTGTTGGAAATGAGACAATAATGTTCAAGAGTATATTGACCCCCTCCTTTTTAACGGGGAAGGGGTTTGTGAGGGGTGAAGTTTTATTTTCAGTTGGAAAATAAAGCACTAATGTAGTTATTCCCACTTTACCCTTGCAAGAAAAGACTGTGAAGCTTAACGCAGGTAACTTTTTGTTACTTTATTTTCTACTACTAGATATGGTGGTTGGTCTTTTGGAGGGAGGAAAGCACTTGAACTTCAAGATACGAAACTGAATAAAACCAAATCTCAGCCTCTGGCTAAGGTAAGGTTTGCATGTATATGTGCACATCTGTATGTATGTATTGCTTACTTATTCAGGCTCCAGACTTCACAACACTTAACAAATAATAAATCATTACATACAATCCTTGCACTTAAAAACTGGGAGAAAGTCACTCTGTCTATGACAACCGACTTCTCTGTTCATAATTCTTGAAGTATTCTCCTGTGTTCTGAGAAACACTTTTAAATGAGTCAATTGATCAAGCTTTTGTTGTTTGTTTGTTTGTTTTTCCAGTGAACTCATTTCAGAGTCTAACTTAGCTCACCTTTAAAACTTTTTTTAGGTAGTCAGCCCAGATTTTTCTTTTTATTTGTTTTCTATAAAAAGCTAATATCATCATTGACTAAAGTACATTGAACATCATAAAAATGAGTTGTTATTGATGCTTTTTCCATGCCTGCAAGGAATACTTTACTACATTTCTCTCTCCTCCTGAGAGTAAAGATGTCTTCTAGGAGTAGCTACTTCTGCATAACAAATATGCTACCCTTTTCTCAAAAGAACCTTTCTAAAGCATTCCAAGGAAAATAGAATCTCCTGCATTGATAAGTGCCTGTTAGCCTCCAGGTGTCATCCCAAGCTTTCACAGTATGGAGATACTGTAGCTCTACACTGCATGCCAAAAGGCTCAAGAAAAAACTCTTTATTTCAATTGTCCTTAGAGTAATCCTTCTTTTCTGACTTTTGAGATCCGCTCAAATGCAGATGCATTAAGAGTAGAGGAACAGCAGTCTTGGAGGAATATTGATGCGTATAGGTGAGGGGTTTCTACTTTTTTATTCAAGGCAAACAATATTTGTTAAGAGGAAGCTGTGGACTTTCCAGGTTCCAGATTAGAATATGAAAGAAAGATTCTTCTGCCCTTAATATGTTTTATGGGAATATAGATTGTATATGCTCTTATGAAAAAAAAAATAGTACTGTGTAAATAACCTCTATCCCAAAATCCATTTTGGGACAAAGAGTTGAAACAACATACAGATATTTTCCAATCCAATATCATTTTACATTTAGTTTTGCAAAATCACTGCCTGTTTCCAATATATTTACCATGTAATTTTGTTAAAAATCTCCCCGTTTTACATACATACCCTAACATATATATATATATTTTCATTTTGATCATGTGTAATCTCTCTTCTACCCCATATTTCTTATAGCTTTGAAGTCCAGTTCCATCAATCCTTCATTAAAAATATGAAGTTTTACAGGTTGTTGGTAAATTGTGTTTTTCTGACTGCTGTTTTTTCCCTATGTATCTTTAATCATTTTAGACACTTGTTTTGACATACTTGCCCTATGGTTCTTGTCAGGGTCCTTTTTTTTTTTTTTTTTAATGTATTTGGCATAGAACTCCACCTGCCATCAGGACAGGGATAAATTATAGTTGCACTCTTAGTAAGTAAGCTTCATATTTCAGATCCAAAGAAAATAGTGGAGTAAATTTATAAAGGGCAATGTGTTATCTAAAATACCTCTTGGAAGTGTCTTTCAAATGATACAATGTCAAACTATTGTATTAACCTTTCAGTAATTAATGACCAGACTTTTACTTTGACCTTTCAGGCTTGTTCATGAGACGGTAAATGTACCATTTACATAGACTGGTATGAAAGAAAATGAGAAATTTACATTTGAAGAGAATTACTGTAAAATTCACTTCGTTTTAGAAAATTTCTGAATATACATTGTTTTCCTCTACTCAAAAAGCCAACAATTTTTCCTGTTCAGATTATAAACGCTTATTCAATACCTATTTTACTGTACCTAACCATACCATTCTGCATATACTACATACATGCTACATGCATGCACACAAAGAATCTGTATATGTGCACACAACAAATGTAGCTGATTAAAACCATTGATTATTGGCATTTATTGATGGTCAGTGCTATGTAGCAAAAGCACAACCCTTCAAATTTTTTGTATTTTCATGACTACATAGTCTTTGGTTTCCTTTGGTAATATGGGCAAAAATTATTCATTAATGATTTCAGTCGCTATTTTTTATAACATAACAAAATATAGGAAGAACATGTGTTAATTTTAAATACTCCTGAAAGGCTATTTGTACCGTTCATGTGGCATTCTGAAGAGTGTATTTTTCCAGTCCCAAATGTTAGGACTTGAGGCTTTACTGTACAGTAATTGAATAAGTGTCCAGAGGATGTTACATCTCTCCTATCTAATATCCGTCCTGAATCTGGTTAAACAATGCTTAGGGATTTCTCTGCTCCTTCTCATCCTTTTTTCTTGATATGCCATTTGTTGGTTGAAATGTCAGTCTAGCTTTATGCTGGAATATTAACGGCAAGTAAAATGTTATATAATGATGTAAAACACAACTTCACAGAACTTCTATCTGATGTGGTGAGGGGTTGTGTTTTTCCTTGGGAAGGAATTTTCTCAGCCATGGATAGAATAGGGAATAGTGAAAATAAAAATTAATTACCTTGATGTATATATTTTTTCATTCCTCAGCTCCTTTCTGCCTTCTGTAAATAATTAATCACCTGTGTGGTACACAAGAAATATGAAAGATATTTCAACTGAAATGAATATATTTCCATTTTTTTATATTTTACCTTTGCGAACAATTTTGAATAAGACACAAATCTTTAGAAGAAAGAGCTTAAATGTATCTTCTGATGAAGTGAACAACCTCAAATGTCTCTTTTGTCACATTATAATAAATTAAATATCCAGTTTCAATTTGGTTATTTCCTGGTGGTTTGATTCAGTTACATAATGCAACTTGAAGGAAGAATTCTAATTAACATGTTGGATATTGAAATGTATTGTTGCACACAATGCTCTATTGTGTTTTTTGAATATTTATTTGAATATTGGCTGCATTATTATAAGTTGTTCTCTGAATACTCAAGACCTTTCCCCTGCTTCAATTAAATGAGGATGTGTTGTCAGAGTTTTGCTTTAATGTTTTCTTAATTGTCTTTCTTTTCAATACAATGAACACAATTGCAGTGGAGTTTCATTATGTGCGTACATATAGCTTTCTATTTGGCATAAATCTTTTTTAAAAGGATAGAAAGAGATGGATATGTGGGGGTGTGAAAAAGACTGGTTACCCTTGGTCACTTGTTTGTGTGTCTTTGCTCTGGTTGCTATTTGCACAGGAGATTCCGCAGTGCAAAGATTTTCAGTTTTTCTCAGGGCACTTAGGTTTTCTTTCACTACATTTTTTTTTAAAGAACTCTCCTTTTCATTAATGAATGGGAGATCTATTTTGTGTAATAATTTGTGGGAACTGAACTGGGGAAGAACAAAGGAGTTTTGTATGACTTTGCAAAGGGGGAAAAACTTTGGGGTTTCTTTTTTCTTTTCTTTAAATGTGGGGACATAAGACTTTGAGACATTTGAGTGCCATTATACGGTACGTGCAGGATGACCGGGGGATCAAGCCCAGCCAAATGGATTTACAAAAGACAGGTCCTACTTGACCAACTTGACATCCTTTTATGAAAAAGTGACCTGCTTAGTAGGTGAGGGAAAGGCTGTGGGTGTAGTCTATCTAGGCTTCGGAAAAGTGTTTGAACATCGTCTCCCACAGTATCCTCCTAGAAAAAGTGGCTGCTCACGGCTTGAATGGGTGGAGTGGCTTGAGATCCACTCGGCAGAAAGGGACTTGGGGGTGCAGTTGACCTCCAGCTCAACATGAGCCAGCAGTGTGCCCAGGTGGCCAAGAAGGCCAACAGCATCTTGGCCTGATTCAAGAATAGCGATCATCCCCCTGTACTTGGCATTGGTGAGGCCACACCTTGAGTACTGTGTCCAGTTCTGGGTCCCTCACTTTAAAAAGGTTATTGAGATGCTGGAGTGTGTCCAGTGAAGGGCAGCAAGGCTCGTGAAAGGCCTAGAAAACATGTCTTATGAGAAATAACTGAGAGAGCTGGGTTTGTTTAGTCTCAAGAAGAGGAGGCCTGGGGGAACTTCGTCTCTCTCTACACTACCTGAAAAGAGGTTGTAGTGAGGTGGGGGGCTGGTCTCTTCCACCGTGCCTGCAGTGAGAAGACTAGAGGAAATGGCCCTAAACTGATAGAGAGGAGATTCAGACTAGACATTAGGAACAATTTTTTCACTGTTAGAGTGGTCAGGCATTGACATAGGTTCCCCAAGAAGGCAGTGGAGGTATTTAAGAGGAGTCTGGATCTGGTCCTGGGTGATGTGGTTTAGTGTTAGTGTTAGGTCTTAAAGGTCTCTTTCAAGCCCAATGATATTATAATTCTATGATTGTAAGATGCTGTTGAGATTTCAAGCAGTTATGAAGACAACATAAAGAAGAGTAGAAAATGTGAAAGGTAATGCAAGCAAGAGCAGTGGTAGATCAAAGCTGCTAAATTTTTTAATAATGACTAATAACACTTCTGGCAAAGAAGATTCAAGGGTGAGAGACATGGGAGAAATGACAGTGGAGCTCAGAGTGGTGCTTTGAAGCATGATCTAGGATAGATGTCAGAAAATAGAATGGAGAATTGGAGCATTGTAAACCTTACCTCATAAAAATGTGGAGATCCAAGCAAGTCAAGAGAATAAATCAGAGGACAATAATTATTAAGAAAAGCAAACACAACTGAAGATTAGACAGCCTTCACTAGGAAATATAGAGGAGAACATGTAAGAAAAAAAAGCAAAATCTCAAACTAGTGTCCAAGTAGGGGTGGTAGTTGAATAGTATAAGGGGAAAAAAAGGCAGAATTATCTGCAAGTAAAGGAGAAGAGCATCAGAGTGATGATAAAAGAATCTTTATGGAAGTTTCCAAGATGTAACTGTGTAGATAGTAATTTTAGAAAGGATCTGAGGAAACTCAAATCCTAGAATAGGAGTGTAAAGGCAATGAAAACCTATATTAAATCCATTTCACTTTGCAGAAAGATTCGAAATTTAGATACACAGTGAGAATTGCCCAGCATCAAATTAGGATGTTAAAAATGCAGAGAACAAATAGCTGATATCAGACGGAAAGGTTAAAAGTTCTTCAAGTGTATAAACAAAAAGAGGAGATGAAAGGTTGCTATGCTGTGAAGAATGGATATTAATCAGATAGTTTTAAACATCACTAAAACTGAAAATAAACATACATAGTAATTTGGCTTAGTTTTCAGTATGGATAATGTAGGTTCAAAAGCATTATGATTAACAGTAATGGGGGACATAAATAGAATTGATTTCTAACTGCAAAGGAAAGTTCAAACCTTAGTTCAAACCTTTGGGACATAGGAAGCTCTCAGCAATTATTCTAGCACATAGAAGTGTGAATTAAGAGTATATTTGTCAAGTCAGGATGGTTCTGCATGATTTGAGGATAAAGTATATATTACAAAAGAATTGTTTTCCTGTGTTCCTCAGAGATACTGTCTTGCCTTATCTGCCTTAAAATTTGTCTGTATAAATTTCCTTCATGCTTAACAAATCACTGATACTTGCTTGTTGAAGGTGGAGGCAGCTTTGTCTCTTATGGCATACTTTCGTACTCACCCTGTAAACGGTGCCTTCTTCATTCTTTCCTTTCCTCATTTTCTGGGATATTCTGTTTCTAGATGTTCTATGTTGTGTGTCATGTGCAGATATTATTTAGATAGTTCAATTTCAATGATTTTTCCACATTTAGCACTGGTTTTATTCATCTGTTTTGTATTTACAATTAAACAGGCAAGTGTTATTTTCACATTGCTCGTCCTCTATTTTTTCACTCAAATGTACATAAAGGAAAGGCGACACAGTGTTCCAAGAAATCAAAGAATCTCAATTTATAATAAACATTGTGTGGTGTACAGCTCCAACAATAGAAAAGAAACTGTGGTACTCTGTTGAAAGACCTGTGCAAATTGACTCGCTCTGTTCTGCCTAGTTCACTTTCTTGTATAAATAGATGTCATAACAGGAGAGATAGATATATTTATCCAATTCTTAAAGGTATGTGAGCTTTCTGATCAGCATTCAAATTTAACTTATTTTTGATTTACAATTTCCATTCTTGCTTCCAGGTGTGGTATAACCAAAAAGGTTTCCATTTGCTGCCATCCTACTTAAATGAACTAAATAACTTCATTCTGTGGATGAATTTACCTCCTAGTGTGGATTGGAGAGAGTATGGTAATAGTTTTTCTTTGTATTTTTTCATATGTTTTGAAAGGTAGAACCAAACTAAAATAATTTTACGAATGAAAATTTTTCACAGTATGAAGTGGGATTGCAGAGTCCCATTTCTTGGGAGGATTGGAAAGTGGAAATTTTAATTACACAGAAAGTTTGTTTGTGTAAAGAATACAGTAGACAGTAAGGTAAAATTTGAATTTAAAGCTCATTATGCCATACGAGTTTTTTACAAAGACATTTTAGTGGAACAAGTGTAAATTGGTTTGCTACTCATGAGATGTTAGTACCTGTGAAACTGCTGCTAGGGCTTGCTTAAATTGGATGATTAACACGTAATAGAGTATGGATTTAAAACTTCTTTGACACTTTATTTCCCAGTATAAATATCTTGGGTAAATCTAGATTATTCTGTAAATTTACACTGCAATATCATATTTCATAGACATCCTGTTACTCAAGGAACAAGAGAGGCTGCTATATCTTATTATTGTACATAACAAAAGAGCCATTAATATATTTGACATATACATTCTCTGATTCAGAAATGCCTGAACTTTATAAGAACTAGTTAAAATAAAAATTTTATGAACTGACTTTTAAAAAAGTGACTGCAGCCAAAGACTCAGCTGCTAACAAAGTGAACTTTTAGGATGTTGAAATCTAGTTTGAAATCTAGACAGCTGAACAGTTCAGGTTAACTTCTGTTCCCTTCATTTCCCTTCATTCTTAAGATTCTGTTAAAGAGGAATTTGATTTAGAGAAATTTAAAAATAACTTATGTCCAATTTTTAAGAGTTTTTGAAAAGGTAGGATGGCTGTCTGTAATGGTAAAATGATTTTCAGTGTGTTTATAATAAAGAAAGAAGAAAGAAAACAAAATCAGTGAAAATAGGGAACAAATCTCGAGCATCTGAATATAGAAATTCATTAAGAAAACTTTCTGGAATGTCAATGAAAAAAAGAGTAATTGCTTGCTTTCAAGATGGCTGTAGTTTTATTTTTCAAAATGAATTATGAGAAAAGATCAAAGGTAATGTGTTTCCACAGAAAGTTTGAATGAAGTGAAATCAGGTATTTTAATGAGTATCTTTAACAGAAATCAATTTTTAATCAACTTTTCCTTCACTTCATGCATAGTACTGATGCCTAGCTTTTTTAATGCAGCATTAGGTATCATGGAGAATCATGGTTTGCCATCCTTATTACAGTCAGAGAAAGTTATAGTTGTCCCAAGGACTGCAGAAGAGTTTTATGTTGTTAGACAACACAGAAACACAGTAAGCAAAACAGTGCTTAAGAAATATTTGAAGTCTTGAACTGGCATCTATACTACTATGGGCTCATTATATAATCGTGTGGCAGAATATGTTAGTTGTCTGTGGAAGTAGAGTTGAAGAACTAGAGAGTAGTTTATTTATGTGTATATCTATTGGAGAAGTGCAATAAAAATGGATTGATCATGCCTTTGAGGCATAATGCAGAGGGACCTGTCACAGAAATCCTAGGAAGAGAGGTCAAATTTCCTATCTACCTATCTGTGTGTATGTGTATGTTTGTGTACATATATTTATATACATGTGTGTGTACACACACCAGTATATATAGATGTATTTTTTCGTGCAGAGAGAAATACATTTGCATATTTTATTTCTAACAAAACCTCAACAGTTTTCCAGTGCCATATGGGGCACTTAAGCTCAGTTCACTTTACCTTTTAGCTATCATTTATTTAAGGATACTGCTCTGATGGAGAAGAACTATTAATATGCTTTTGTTAGTAAAATTGTTGTATGTAGTGCTGTAAATTAGAAGTCAGAAGACCACATACTATGCCTCAACACTGAAATCTATTGTTATTTATTTATTTTTTCTTCTTCCAAACTCTGTTTATATGCAAGGTCAGTTCCAGAATATTGTTGGAAATTGCTGTAAGGTAGCTTGTTAGGATGTTACAGAAAAGTAGCTTTGTAGTTCTGACTCACATTAATACTAAGTTATCTCACAGAATACCTTTTTCCTGTCAACAGAACCAGAGCTTCTGAATTACTTTTAAGTAAAACATAAAAATAATTTGACCACTGAAAAGGGACTGTTAGGACATGCTCTTTTCTTCCTTCACAGAAAAATAAATCTTTCTTTGCTGCGAGAAGCTTGCTACAATAGAGTAGAGCATTGCCATGGATGTAAACACGGTAGTAACAATGAAGCTATGATATTAAAGCAACCTTGAAAGACGTCAACAACTTGTTTAAATACTCATACAAATACTAAGGAACTCTTTCACTTAGCAGTTATATCCTGTCTGTATTTCTTGAACATGAACCCAGAAGGCATTCTCCCAAGATCTCTGGAGAAGGGAAGACTCATTATAGACCATGTTCTACATAGCAGTTCTGTCATTATAGCAGTTCTACCTGCTTTGCCAAGAGGGATAAATGCAGTAACTTTCACAGGAGATCAGTAGCACTGGTCCAAGTTTGTGATAGCTTTTGATAATAAGGAGCTGAGAAGAAGGCTAAATGCTTTTGTCTAATATCTTTTCTGCAGTGAGGAGGAATATAGATAAGATTTTGTATGAAAATTTGAAGGAAGAGGTTTTACCCAAAAATACAGAGGACATATGCTGTCTTGGACTGATTTATATCCCTAGGGATTTGTATCTGTTCAAAAAATGGTGAAAAATTTTGATTATTGTTTTTGTTTTGTCAGTCCAAGTTACTGACTCTTGATCATACTGAGCATGCAGAGCAGGAAGTGATAGTTATTTGGTGATAAAAAATACTTCCTTTTTCCTATTGTGTAATCTAATCTTCAAATCCTTTAAAGGTAGGTGAAGAGATTTCTCTTCTCTTCCCACCCCTATATGGGATTATTGGGAAGCTTCTCTGTGAGGCTGCTTGGAAAACTACAATGTTTGCTTCTTGTAATATTCATGTAAAGACTGGTATGGTTGTTGAAGAAAATGTGTACACCAGCTGGAGGTGCATTTACTAGATGGAACAAGAGAAGTTAGCCAGATTGATTCATGTTAGTTTATGACAGCTAATGGATCAGACATTTCTTTTGGAACAGCAATTCAGGAATACTTCTTGTATGAAAATATCTCATTTTCTCTATGTGGATAGCCACCTCTAGCTTCATCATCAAGTCTGTGATTCTGTTGTGGGAAAAAGAAAATCAAACTCATCTGTTTTGCTGGAAAGGAAACTAAATGCATTTTGTTTTGTAGTGGGTTATAAATTCAGTGGCAGATCATGAAAATGAACATGTTCATAAATTTTAAAAAAGTGAGAAAGACTCTTCAGCAGAAAAGGTAAGATGTACTGGCTTTTTTGTCAAAACTCTTCACCTGTATCTGGTCTTCAAGTTTAAACAAATGGTATTATTTAATCTCTTTCTGAAATGCTGCATTCTTACAACTAGGTAAAGGAACAGTGAAATAAGAGGAATATAAAACTAGAAGGCAATATTTTCTGCTTTAATCCTAGGACAGAAATTTTGATCAAGTAAGACTATGTTATTTTTTGCACCTAACTGTATACAGTTGAGTCAGTGTTTATACAGTTTATCGTACTGGAGTATAGGGGAAGGACTATTACCTACCTCTTAGAGTAAGGCAGTATAAAGAAAAAAGCAGTGGTAGCCATCTATAATGATGTCTGTAAAGTACAGTGGTCAAAAAAATGTTCTTACTTCATTACTTAAAGAACAGAAATGTCTCAATATAGCTGCCTCATCTCAGTATTCCTATTGAAGTCATCACTTTTTTTAAAAAACCTTTCATGCTAAGACCCATTGTAAGCTTCATATAGCACCCTCATTTATTTCAGATTCAATTCTTCAAAAGAGCTGAAGGGATCAAGAGACCCATTTTCAGCTGAGTTTTGTTGGAAAGTGCCTATATAGTTTCCTGAATGCTTTGCAAATTATACCTTGAAACCTCTTTTCAAAGAAGACTGTGAAGTGGCCTTTGGGTGGAACCTTCTTAACCATGTCTGGTTAGTGGGGGGAAAGTAAAATAGAAACCATTAATGGTGGTGCTGCCTGTGAAATTCTTCATAAAATATAAATTGTAATTTTCAGTAAATACTAATGTCTGATTTTATACAAATAGAAATATTGTCATAAATATTAAATTCCCACAAAAAATATCTTCTAAAAAGCATATATATATATATACTATCTCCATTTTCGTTATACATGCTATTATATTTTATTCTAATCTGAAATAAAATGTCTGGCATGAAGAAACTTAGCTTGATCTTCTATTCAATTCTGTAGTGATCATGATATTTAGAAGTAGTAGCACAGATCCCAGTTGATCTATGTACTCAAGACTCAGCATGACAGAAGAGACCGTTTACAAAGACGTGCCAAGAGACAGGTTCAGACACACCCAAAACAGTGCAGAACCACAAAATGTGCATGACTGACTTATGGTGATAGCATACAAGCTTGAAGACCTTTGAGATTTTTCCCTCTAGATCTCTCTAACCTCTACTGAAAAATTACTACTGGGCTCCTATCACTTTTACTGAAAAACCACAGGTTTTGTAACATGTTTATGCAGAAAATTTCACCCAAGTGGGGTGGACTGGACTACCAATGCCTACTGTTCTTTATATACGGGATGGAAACATCCAAGTCTCTAAGGTTATGCCAAATTGTATGTGCCTTTTTTTTTCTGAAAAATGGTCAAGTGGTTTAGATGTGAAATAGAAGATCTAGAGCAGTTTGTCTTGAAGGTAGTTAGTTTGTTTGCTACTATCTGTTTGCAGATAGTTAATGAGATTTTGGTATGGGGAAACTGTCTTGGGTTATGTAGCTCCTGAATGGCAACAGGGCAGGATGTTGTTCATATCAAGCATGTCTAATGTGGAAACCTTTTTTCCTGTGAACTTTTCTATCCAGAATGGGAAAGTATAGTATTCTATTCCAGAGAATGTTCTAAAGGCTTCTAAAATTTTATGAAGAACTTATTTCACTAGATTAGGAAT